ATTATGAATCCCAAACATTCGATGTGATCATCATAATACCTTTGTAGTCATTACTACACAGTTTTTTTCATTCTTCTTCCTTTTGTCAAATTCAGATACCCATGTCTTCATGCGCTTCTGTGGCTAGGTTTCTAGACTCGAGTGCTATGGAGTCAATGACATTTGCCCTATCAGCCGATTGTAACCCAATGTCCGATTCCCATTTAGTTTGTTCGCAGTCAAAAATACTACACAAAGGATCTAAAGACAACCACAATAAGTTAATTTGTCAGAATGTGACCAGTTCACAAATGACCTCAAATCTAAATTATTTTACTGACCAAAATTGTTTCCAGACCTTCAAGACTGAGGCTATTTCAATTGAAAATACAAGACTCAAGGTATTCATTATATTTATTGGTTATGCAAAGCTTACAACTGACTACCCATTTCACTCAACTCATCAGTTTTAGTTGTTGAGATTATAGTTCAAGGTCCTGTCACTTTCTAAAACGCGATTTGCTTATGCTTAGTTACTCTTTAACACATATATACAACTATTTATTTATTTAAACACATAAACATTGGTACATAGGCGCACCAAAATATATGTGCGCCACACAATAAGAAAATGACCTGTGACCAACGAGTCCTCAGTGACTACCCAAAGAGAATGTTACCCACGTAATTTTCTCACTGATGAAACTTTCTACCCTAACGCCAGGTAAATCACTGTTAATTGGAGTCCAGCAGGTGAGTTTTACATCCACTCTGGCACTAAATGAGACATCAACGCCAGGAAAACTGGACATAAATGCCCTAGAGCCTCTGGATAAGCGCAGGTAAAACAAGCTCTCCAAATTGACAGACGGGGAACTAATTTGCAGCGCATCGCTGGTGTCTTATACAGGTCTTGGAGATGCAGGAGATATCGGTCTCAATACTTCTAAAAGACATCTAAATCTGCATTTGTGTGAACGTTGAAGCAGTCCGGTTCAAATGGAATACATGGTTTCAGGAAACCTGTATCGGGTATCGCTCTCGGTGGGAATCAATCGTGAATTCAATCGTTCCGCAACTTGAGACTATTTAGACTAGTTAGAACATTCACCGAAGACGAGTTTCTGAGTGTGCTGAAGTGTAAAAGTATGCACGAAATGAATAGAAAGATAAAGTGGCTAAAATAAATCAGCTTGTAATTAGGTATTCGTAAATATCGTTTATATTGGATAGCAAGGGGAACTGGAAACACTTCCTTCGTTGGTAAAAATCATTATATTTGTGTGTGGGCCGGGATACTCTCCAGGCACCCAAACCGAAGCATATGGTTTTCTCGAGAGACCTCTCGCCGAACTTTTGACCTAGAGGTCTAGTCCAAAAGACAGCGTAGCAATGTTAGCAGATGCCGTCCCATGGTATCTGGTGATCAAGAATGGGTTCATACGCCAGTTGTTCCCTCATGATCTTGGAGTCCATGTCCACCTTTGGTTTGGAATCAGGGATTTCTAACTCCCCTAGGTGGGTCCTCCGTACCCACCAACCCGGTTTAAGCGCCGGACGTTCGCTTTCCGTCCTCTCAAATTTCGTAAACAACACCCCACTACGAGAAGGTAGTGAGTAGGACTTCTCTGGCAGTGGCTATATACCCGTAGTCATGTGAGAGCAATTCGAGAGGGATAGCAGGCTCTTTCCACTCTCGTGCATACCAAGCCATTTATTGGATACGTTAGACCTCATTCGTAATCCAGGTTATCCAAGAACGGTGGCGTAGAAGGCGCGTCTGTTCCCGATTTCGTATTACACGTCATATCGTTGTAGTGCAAAAATTATTAAAAAATGTTCAATTTTTTTGTTTACAGGTAACTGGTTTGAGCTTTGTAGCTTTTTCTGGTCGTGCCTCATTTTGCAGTGCAATAATCGTCGAGGATGGATTATATATTTCTATGACAAGTTTAAAATTTCATCAGCTTGTCAATAGTTTGAAAAATGGTTACGATTTATCAATTCCTATACGATCAAGTCGTAACATCCAACCATCTACAATAGTAGAACATATCAATGGTGATTTTGGAGATGATATTTCGAATCGCGATCTATTTAACGGAAATGTTGCCTCATCAGTTCACGTAAAGTGGTTTAAAGTGTTTGATTCATTTTTATCAAGTGCTTCATTTAGTACTACCGTCACTCCATGTTGCGTAAGTTTTCAAACTTTACAGTTAAGTGATACATTAATCCTTGTTTCTGAAGAAATCGCTTGATATTTTAGTTTCGTCTTGTCCACTATTTTTTTAAGTAAACCCTTTTCTTGTACTGGGATAGAAATGTAAATCACTTTAATGCTATTCAAGTTATATTGAATAAAACATTTATTGTCTTAGGTTCTGTCATTGCTAGCAGGGTGTTTGGAAAGAGTTTGAACCAAAGACAGCCTATTATTATGGTTAAAATACGATAAAGGGATTTGTAGAACTAGACAGACGAATCGTTTGAAAGGTTCACCAAAGAATTACACAAACTCACTAAAAGATCTTTAGATTGCTGTTTTTCGAGTTACTGCTTGTACAGAAAACCATAACAATTAGATCTATCGCCTAGGACGTGATATTTATCCACCTAAATAAAATGATTCAAACTTAATTTATTTTATCTTTACATTTAGTCAAAACTTGAAAAGTAACTGTGTCAAATATACTATTTGATAACCTTATTGTCATCGGGTCATGTTTAAATTTTTCTTCGATGAGCAGATTATTAAGCTGAATAGCATTTTAACATATTTTAAGTAATATTTCCCTCATTTCCGTAAGTGCTGAATTTAATCTTTAGACTAATCCTGCCGGCATATGGGACTTGGAACCTATTACTACATTCTTAGTGCCAGTTCATTACCAACTATGGCACTGGATACATCTGAATGAAAGTATTATTCCAAGCAGTGAAAGTCAATTAAGTTCTTTATCGACTACCAAATCAAGTGATCCACCGTCTTTACGATTGGCATGGATTCGATTTCATGTGTTAAACGTTGATCAATTGGAATTTATTAGTACATCCTCAAGTAAAACAATAACTTTTGGGCATTTTTCTAATGAAGTAGCTGAATGTGTAATCAAGGTCAGTTTAATCCAAAAAAATTTCAAAACTTTTTTAAGTAAACTGCTTTTCTATCCATTCACTAAAACTTGTTTTAGTGTGCGTTTTTAACTAAGCCAGCTTTAATGCAATATGATCTGCATTCTAAGTTTAGAAATATACTGGTGAAACTCAATCGTTTAAAAGCCTCTTGAGGTTCACTCTAGTTTAACACATACAGAAGCGTCAGTTTTGGAGCAGATGAATGCAGTGGATTGACCCCAGTTATCCTCGTGCTAGGTTATTTCAGACCGAGACTAATTTATGAACGACGTTTGAGAGATACAAAAGTAACCTTGAGACACCTCAGTGAGTCATTAGAGTTATGAATTAGTATGATGAATCATGATTAAAAGTTAGGATAACAAATATCATAGCTAGGGTTTTCATTATGATCTCATATCAGATAAAATGACAGAATGCTACTTATCAGACAGGACATATGCTCGTGGATTTGTAGCACATGCATTATACAATGTGCAGTATATATGCTGCACCAAGCACTATCCCGTTCAATTAATGGGTGATCGCTGGCAGTAGTGCAGCGACTTAGTGAGAGTAAATTATGTATTATCCTTACGGCAAAATGTTACTTTTACATACTAGGAATTGAGCTGCAGCTGTGAAGGAAGGTTGACACACTATTGGGTTTTCGTCACAAAGTTATATCAGCTATCATTGAGAAACGCCAACGTTAGATAACCGTATGTAAGCAAGGGTTGTGTCAGGATTACGAATGAGGTCTAACGTATCCAATAAATGGCTTGGTATGCACGAGAGTGGAAAGAGCCTGCTATCCCTCTCGAATTGCTCTCACATGACTACGGGTATATAGCCACTGCCAGAGAAGTCCTACTCACTACCTTCTCGTAGTGGGGTGTTGTTTACGAAATTTGAGAGGACGGAAAGCGAACGTCCGGCGCTTAAACCGGGTTGGTGGGTACGGAGGACCCACCTAGGGGAGTTAGAAATCCCTGATTCCAAACCAAAGGTGGACATGGACTCCAAGATCATGAGGGAACAACTGGCGTATGAACCCATTCTTGATCACCAGATACCATGGGACGGCATCTGCTAACATTGCTACGCTGTCTTTTGGACTAGACCTCTAGGTCAAAAGTTCGGCGAGAGGTCTCTCGAGAAAACCATATGCTTCGGTTTGGGTGCCTGGAGAGTATCCCGGCCCACACACAAATATAATGATTTTTACCAACGAAGGAAGTGTTTCCAGTTCCCCTTGCTATCCAATATAAACGATATTTACGAATACCTAATTACAAGCTGATTTATTTTAGCCACTTTATCTTTCTATTCATTTCGTGCATACTTTTACACTTCAGCACACTCAGAAACTCGTCTTCGGTGAATGTTCTAACTAGTCTAAATAGTCTCAAGTTGCGGAACGATTGAATTCACGATTGATTCCCACCGAGAGCGATACCCGATACAGGTTTCCTGAAACCATGTATTCCATTTGAACCGGACTGCTTCAACGTTCACACAAATGCAGATTTAGATGTCTTTTAGAAGTATTGAGACCGATATCTCCTGCATCTCCAAGACCTGTATAAGACACCAGCGATGCGCTGCAAATTAGTTCCCCGTCTGTCAATTTGGAGAGCTTGTTTTACCTGCGCTTATCCAGAGGCTCTAGGGCATTTATGTCCAGTTTTCCTGGCGTTGATGTCTCATTTAGTGCCAGAGTGGATGTAAAACTCACCTGCTGGACTCCAATTAACAGTGATTTACCTGGCGTTAGGGTAGAAAGTTTCATCAGTGAGAAAATTACGTGGGTAACATTCTCTTTGGGTAGTCACTGAGGACTCGTTGGTCACAGGTCATTTTCTTATTGTGTGGCGCACATATATTTTGGTGCGCCTATGTACCAATGTTTATGTGTTTAAATAAATAAATAGTTGTATATATGTGTTAAAGAGTAACTAAGCATAAGCAAATCGCGTTTTAGAAAGTGACAGGACCTTGAACTATAATCTCAACAACTAAAACTGATGAGTTGAGTGAAATGGGTAGTCAGTTGTAAGCTTTGCATAACCAATAAATATAATGAATACCTTGAGTCTTGTATTTTCAATTGAAATAGCCTCAGTCTTGAAGGTCTGGAAACAATTTTGGTCAGTAAAATAATTTAGATTTGAGGTCATTTGTGAACTGGTCACATTCTGACAAATTAACTTATTGTGGTTGTCTTTAGATCCTTTGTGTAGTATTTTTGACTGCGAACAAACTAAATGGGAATCGGACATTGGGTTACAATCGGCTGATAGGGCAAATGTCATTGACTCCATAGCACTCGAGTCTAGAAACCTAGCCACAGAAGCGCATGAAGACATGGGTATCTGAATTTGACAAAAGGAAGAAGAATGAAAAAAACTGTGTAGTAATGACTACAAAGGTATTATGATGATCACATCGAATGTTTGGGATTCATAATAACAATACCCAGTAAATTCCATTGATCAATCGGTTAAAAGATCAATATGGGGTAGCGGATAAAAATTTAACTCAGACTGAGGATTTTGAGAGAGGTTGTATCCTTTGAGGTGGATATTTTAATTTAAAAAACTTAACATTAATAGATAGAAATGACTACTGAAAATGTATTTCAGACAGTGAAGTTAGCGCTGTACTTACTTACTTACGCCTGTTACTCCTCGTGAAGGAGCATAGGCCACTCACCAGCATTCTCCATCCAACCCTGTCCTGGGCAATCCTTTCTAGCTCCGTCCAGTTTTAATTCATCGTTTTCATATCTGCTTCTATAATCCGACGCAATGTGTTCTTTGGCCTTCCTCTTTTTCGCTTCTCTTCAGGGTTCCAAGTTAGGGCTTGCCTCGTGATGCAGTTTGACGATTTGCGTAATGTATGTCCTATCCATTTCCATCGTCTTTTCCTAATTTCCTCTTCAGCTGGAAGTTGGTTTGTTCTCTCCCACAGAAGGCTATTGCTGATGGTATCCGGCCAGTGGATGTTGAGTATCTTGCGTAGGCAGCTATTTATAAATACTTGTACTTTCTTGATTGTGGTTGTTGTAGTTCTCCAAGTTTCAGCTCCATACAGTAGAACTGCCTTGACGTTCGTATTGAAGATTCTCACTTTGATATTGGTTGAAAGTTGTTTTGAGTTCCATATGTTCTTCAATTGTAGGAATGCGACCCTTGCTTTGCCGATCCTCGCCTTTACGTCTGCATCTGAACCTCCTTGTTCATCGATGATGCTTCCTAGGTATGTGAAGGACTCTACACCTTCCAGAGTTTCTCCATCAAGAGTGACTGGATTGCTGTTTTCCGCTTTGAATTTGAGGACCTTGGTTTTCCCTTTGTGTATGCTGAGGCCTACTGATGCAGAGACTGCTGCTACATTGGCTGTCTTCATCTGCATCCGTTCGTGTGTACGTGATAGGAGGGCTAGGTCATCTGCGAAGTCCAAATCGTCTAATTGATTCTGAGTTGTCCATTGTATTCCGTGTTTTCCTTCAGATGTCGAGGTCTTCATAATCCAGTGGACCACCAGTACTCCGCCTGTAGCTCTAATAGGGTTACTGCCGGTCCCAAGCCCGGGTAAAGGAGGAGGGTTGGGCATGGGGTTAGCGTCCCCATCCTGTAGAAAACTAACTCGCTAAAAAAACGCTTGCCAGAAAAAATAATCCAAACCATTTAAACTCTTTCCTGGGAGTTAGAAGATCTTCAGTTAGAAGAATTATGACGCTTCATGGTGAAAGCCGAGTTCCTTCGGAAGCCAAGAGGCCGATGCCCCTTCTAACAACTAGAGCAAAAATTTTATAGGTACATGGAACGTTCGAACAATGTGGGAAACCGGGAAGACCAGTCAAATAGCAATGGAAATGAGGAGATACAACTTAGCAGTACTGGGAAGTTAGCGCTGTGATAGATGCAAAAATCGTTCGAATCACACTTTTTTTAGTCAGTCAGTCAGTAACAACGTAGAACTTCGTATGTATGTACATCAGTTCGAGTTGCCATAACACATTAGCACAGAGATGCAGTTGTCGATTCAAATCCCGTAGTGGTAGAGACATGAAGAATTCAAAAGATTAGAATTTGGGAGAACACAAAGAGGGGATGCATCTGCGCCATTGCAAACGATTTTGAGCCATGTCATTCAGGGTCTCTAACCATCGATTGCTATCGTCTCGTGGTCCCCAACCAGGTAGTTTACACCTACCAACACGGCTCAGTCCACTTATCAGCGACTTCATGGATTTTTGCCATGTTTTGGTCTGGCCGCCCCTATCTTTCTTCCAACCTACTCCTACACCATAAAAGATTGCACGTCGGGGCAGTCGGTGGTTGGGCATACGTAACACGTGTCCCAGCCATTTCAACTGATGAAGTAGTAAAACTCCATCAATTGATTTGCCATCCTTACCTAGTACCCGTTTCCTAACAACTGCATTACTTACTCGATGGTCCCAGGATATACGAGCAATGTTTCGAAGACACCTATGATCAAATACTAGTAACCTACATATATCCTCTACTCTTATTGGCCATGTTTCACTGCCATCAAGTAAGTCATACTATTTTACTGGTAGGGTATATGGAAGAACGGTATGTCGGACAATCCTGATGGAACCATATGCTATTACTAGACCAGATAGGTTACATGATTCCTCAAAGACAAATGGTGAGTGAGAAATCAAAATGTCGGAGAGCGTTTTGTGAGTGGATTATTCATGGGGGCAGGGTCATTACTTGCATACCTTTATGTGCGTTAATCTATTATCATATATATATACACACGACCTGTTTCAATGCCCATTCAGCCTTTAACATTACAAAATTCTATCTTATTACTTCGCGCACAGCTAATCCAGAGACAGGAAGTGTGTAATGTGGCTGGATCGGATCGTAGGATGAAGAAAGAATCAGAGTTGACTTGACTTGTCAAGACACGCAAAATGTGCCAATTAAAAACAGATATTTGAAGATACTATTCTAAACAGATGAGGAAAAGCAAAACGAATACAGTGATCAGCTAGGAAATCACATAGATAACTAATTTTTTCAGACTTACTAGAAGCTCTACAATTACGTCTTCGACACCATTATTATGTGTAGTAGTATTCGTATCCGATTCACTTTTAACTACATTCAAATGTGCATAGAATCCATTTATATGAAATAATAATTCTGGTAATGGAATACATCTTTGTTTAGGTGTAAATGTCATGAAATCTGGATAGATAAATGGTTTTATATTAGTGAATAATTGTAAGAAGCTTTCTCCGTCTAGTTTACAATCAAATAAAATCTTGCGATCACGGTCGGATAACAAAGTAGTTGGATAATAATGTGACATTTTGCCTAGATTCAATAAAATTCTACTCGGTAGATGATATGCCCAAGGTGCTTCTTGTATATGCACTAGTAGAGCGATTAAGAACGGTGGATTTGGTAGATGTAGGCCTAATAAACATTGGTGAGTTGGATGGAAAAATACGAATCCATATGGATTGCTACTTCCATAATTACTACTTGTTAAAGATCTGGAATTAAGCCAATAGTAACCATTCGTCATATCTGAGTCAGTACAGGGTGAACTAGAACAACGATCATTTGCAAAGTAAAGTTTTTCAAAGAAACAATCATGTGAACGAAATGGTGCTGAACCGAACGGTCTATTATACGTTTGAGACATACGATTCCCATGTGATATCATGCACGTATGATTTGTTGATAATTGGTATCCGCAACTATGGTATGTGGTTTGCACCCTCTGTTATCAATGCATTTTCTTAAGATTAGTAGTTCACTGAACTTGCACGTTTTGTTATTTATAAGTAGATGAAAGTACCTGACTGTTAGGAACTGCTGCATTTACTTGATCGTAACACTTATACCTTGAGATGAAAACGAATGGAATTCCCGTTAGAAACTGGTGCAAATAAGATTTCCTGGTTCGATATTATTATTATGATTGTTATTATTATTATTATTATATTTTTATTATTATTATCATTATAATTATAATTAGGAGCTTTATTGAACACTATATTTTTGGTACAACATAGAATTCTCAGCATAAAGTATTTCAACAAGTTTCCTTTTCTTATACCTTGATCTATTGTGACGATAAATTTGAATGATGACCGGTTAGATGTTGGGAGTTCGGTAGAAACACTTGTCGTTACAAAACTGTAACAACATCTTGTAGACCAAAGTGCAATCACTTATTCACTAGATTTTACACCCAGTTATTAGAAAAATAGAGGTGAGATATATATGATCACCGTAAAAGTCGCTGAGTATATTATAGCTGAACTGATAGACGGAATTAAGTTCTCATATTGAACGAAATGCACACCTGTGAACTTGGCCAAAATCCATGATGAACTGATACAAAAATATTAACTTGAATAACGTCATCTTTTTATCCCATCATATCAATAAGTGTTCGATCTACTTTATCTTTATGTCATTGCGTTATTTCTCAGGATTTATCCGTACATATAACAGTTCATGTATTAAGTTTTTTGTAGTTTAAAGTCGATTTGTTTTACATTCTCTATTGTTCCTCACTTGCTTGTGTTATGTGTGGATAACTTATATTCCTTAATGTGCTTTTATTTTACAATAACTGGAATTATGCACCGCACTTCAGCTGTATTTCAAATGACCACAAGGTTGTACTCAAAATGCTATGATTATTCTGTTCATGGTATTTAACAGGGTTTCATATGTATTGATAAAATGTTTGGGTAAATTACTTTATTCATATGTTTGAAACTCATTAAGTCTTATTACGCATAGGCAAAACTGATGAATTTCAACCTAGTTATCAGGCTCTTAATTCAACATACTCTCATTTTCAGTTAGGAGGTACTTTGCAGATAAAGATGATATTGTGCAATTCATACGTAGTGTATCTGTTTCATTTCTTCAGTTATGAATCAAGGCTTGTATCACTACTACAATAATTTACTTGGGTTTTTCATAGCTTGTCGTGAAATGCTTACGTCTTGATCTATCTTATAGGCGCTTCGACCTTATCTTGGTCATCTCTTAAACAATAATCGTACACAAATCACACTACGCATTCTGTTGCAACCACCAGATCAGGTTGGCTATCGGATGGGTGCTTCATGTCAGGAGGTATACACACTGCACAATCAACTGGGTTCATCAAACGATCTTGAAAATGCCAGCTGTGAGAATTGTGAAGAAATGTATGCTGACGCATTAGACGACATACTGTTGCCTGTATTATCTTCATGGACTAGTTGCTTAAAAATTGTCGATGTAAATATAAAGGGAATCGAACGCCGCTCACCGAGTACTTCTAATTCTTGTTATCATCATCTAAATGAAATAATTCAGATGGAATTTGATTTTTGCATTTTAAACTAAAGTTATGTCAGCTAGGAAAGTATGTTAGATATAACGTTTGTATCAAACGCTACAAAACAGTCTGTATCCAATTATTCGGATCTTTGCTTCTTTTTGTTCGTTCTAGTTTGTTATTTTGTTTAATTGATCCCTCGATTAGGTGACCTCAATAGTTTACTTTTTTAAGTAGCATAATTTATTTGCTACTCTCCTAAACCAGTGCTCCCTATTTTCTCTGTTTATGTACATAGTGATTTACGTGTTGACCTCCATTCATTTGTTGTGATAACTTGTATTTGTGAGTCCTGGTTCCTTATTTTAGTTGTTATCTAACTTCGATTTGAATATCCATGAAATAGTTTATTAAGCGGAATTGTAGATTTTTTTTTCCAGTTGTTTCTTGAGGGGAAAGTCGTCTTGCTTTTTTTCGAAAACGCTTTCGGGAGATAAGACACAGCATTCGCTTTTCAAACAAATCCAACATCGAGAACAAAGAATATTTGGTTGCTAAACCTCGATCTTAAGATGAGTAAGTAATATAGTTTTTAATAAGATTGAATCACTAGATCAGTTCAGACCATCCTGCATATATACATCTAAGTAGTATATATATAGTTTATTTGAATTATGGCTAATCAAAACGTCGCATCTCGTCAAAATATAACGAAAAATGAGAAAACTTACATTTCTGTTGTCGAATTTCTAAGCAGTGCTTAGTTTCTTGTTACCACTATAACACCACTGTACTATGATTACTGTATATCTACATATCACGCTCATTGCGAATTAGTCACTATTATTATTTGTTCTACTATTTGACCATTCTCAAACATATTCACCATTAATCCCAGCTTTTTACACTTATACTTGACCTGTCAACCTCAACCACTATGTCAGTATATCTTTAATATTTGGATATCTGTAAATCAGGTACTGGAAAATGTCAGTGGAATTTGTTAAAACTCATCGCAAATAGATTTCACAACTTATACGGGTATATTGCTGTACGCTGGCTGCTTTTACTAAAGAGAAGTCATCATAGCAAAGCTGGTGAATCAATGGAAACTTGGTGTTCTCGATAAAATTGACGCAGATAACGATTCCCTTGAATACCTTGTGATTAACATAGCAAGTAAATGGTTTTTCTTCCCATGTCACATATTTCCACAAGATGTATCGATTAAATCTATGGTGAACAGGCAAAAATCAAAACAAGGACGCTTATATTGGTTGGAGTAGTGTAATCAGCCTACACACGAAACTTAGCTCATTTAGGTGAATGTTATTATATGAAAAAGCACTGATTCAACACTGTTTGCTGTTATAGTGAAGGCTCTTTGTCAATCTGTATTCGCCTGAATACCCTTTTACTGAATTAACTGCGAGTTGGTCTTCTTGAGATGAACATTTTAATGAACTTTCTTAGGAGAATACTTAAATCCACACTCATACCTCAGCGATGGAAGTGGGACAATCCTCTCTTGATGTGCTTTGCAAATCCATTCGAAAATAGGCGTGATAGCAGTTTGAGGCCTCCAAATGCCCTAGTACGGCCGAGGGTGGAGAGAGCCTGCTATCCCTCTCGAATCGCTCTCACATGACTACGGGTATATAGCCACTGCCAGAGAAGTCCTACTCACTACCTTCTCGTAGTGGGGTGTTGTTTACGAAATTTGAGAGGACGGAAAGCGAACGTCCGGCGCTTAAACCGGGTTGGTGGGTACGGAGGACCCACCTAGGGGAGTTAGAAATCCCTGATTCCAAACCAAAGGTGGACATGGACTCCAAGATCATGAGGGAACAACTGGCGTATGAACCCATTCTTGATCACCAGATACCATGGGACGGCATCTGCTAACATTGCTACGCTGTCTTTTGGACTAGACCTCTAGGTCAAAAGTTCGGCGAGAGGTCTCTCGAGAAAACCATATGCTTCGGTTTGGGTGCCTGGAGAGTATCCCGGCCCACACACAAATATAATGATTTTTACCAACGAAGGAAGTGTTTCCAGTTCCCCTTGCTATCCAATATAAACGATATTTACGAATACCTAATTACAAGCTGATTTATTTTAGCCACTTTATCTTTCTATTCATTTCGTGCATACTTTTACACTTCAGCACACTCAGAAACTCGTCTTCGGTGAATGTTCTAACTAGTCTAAATAGTCTCAAGTTGCGGAACGATTGAATCCACCTTGTAGTGACATTTACTTTCACAGAGTGGAATAATTTGTTTTTTTATTAGTATTAATCAACAAACTCCGCCTGTAGCTCTATAGAGTTCTTGGCAGTTCTATGCTCAGGGAAAAGTGGAAGGTTGGGCATGCAGTGAGCACCTCGAGAGCCGTTGTACACTAGTCATCAAGAAAATACCTTACACAAAGAATCCCATTGATCCTGTTCAAAGAATCACGTAAATCACTAAACATATGTCATCTGCGTCTGCAACATTTGTTAGCATTGTGCGTCGTCGTAATCGATATTCGGGAATACGTAACACGTGACCCATCTCAATCGATGAAGATTTACAATCTCATTAAATTACAGGATATTCGTAGGTTACTAGTATTTGATAAGAAAGGATACCTGACCAAGATACCAGAGAAAGGAGATTTGAACATGTGTGAGAACTACAAAGGCATCGCACTACTATCAGTACCAGTAAAAGTTTCAACAGGGTTCTTTTCAATTGAATGAAAAACTCAGTAGACATTCAACATCGAGACCAACAGGCCGAATTTTGTAAGGACCGATCATTCACAGACCAAATCGCAGCAGTATGGATCATTTTTGAGCAATCAATAGAATGGGATTCGCCACTATAGATCAGATTTCTTGACGGCGATGGGGGAACCTTTTGAAACCACCCTTGACACTAGAGGAAAAGTAGCTTAGAAGATCGTCAACATCATATGGAAGTCATACGATGGGCTGTATTGCAAAGTCGTGCATGGAGGACAACTGATAGATGCATTCCAAGTGAGGAGCGGTGTCAGACAAGGCTGCTTATTCTCGCGCTTTCTTTCTTCTTGTGGTTGATTGACTGGATTATGAAGACCTTCATATCTCAGGAGAAGCACGTAATACAATGGACAGTTTAGATGCAAATAGACGATTTGGACTTCGCAGATGATTCAGGTCTTCTATGTCACACGGCAACAGATGTAGATGAAGACGGCCAATGTTGCAGCAACGTCTACAGTAGTAGATCTCAACATTCAAATGTGTGAAAGCAAGATTCTGAAATACAACCAAATCACACTTGATGGAGAAGCACTGGAATAGATGGATGCTTTCACGCGACTGAGAAGCATAATTGATGAACAAGGAGGATCTGATGTAGATGAGAAGGCACTGATTGGCAAAACATGGGCAGAATTCTTACAACCGGAGAACGTATGGAACTAAAAATAACTGTCAGTCAGTTACAACGTAGGAACAAGCACATAAGTGCATCGGTCAAAGTCGCTGTGTCTCATTAGCGGAACAAGTTAAACACCAAATTCATAGAAGTAATTAGTTCATCAGCCAACATGAAAGCAAAAGTCTTCAATACAAAGGTCGAGACAGTCCTATTGTACGGGCCGAGACTTGGAGAACTACTACAACTTTCATCAAAATATGTAGGTATTTATAAACAATTGTTTACGCCAGACACTCGGTGTGTGTTAGTTGGATACTATCAGCAACAGTCTACTGTAGGAGAGGACAAACCAGCTTTGAGATGAAGATCAATTTTGAAAATGGCGCTGGAGGTGGATAGGACATACATAACGAAAATCATCGAACTGTATCACAAGGCGGGCGTTAACTTGGAATCCTGAAGGGAAGAGGAAAAGAGGCAGACCAAGGAACATACTGCGCCGGGAACTGTAAGCAGACATCAAAAGAATGAATGACAACTTGAAAGGATTGCCCAAGACAGAGTCCAATGGAGAATCCTGGCGGGTGATCTACGCTCCTTCACGAGGAGTAAGTCTTTAGTAATTAGTTAAGGGCTGATAATTGCAATGAGCAACCAAATTTGTCGACCTGTCCAGTCATTGTTCCTTATACATTTTTTGGAAAGCCCCATGCTATTCTTGGTGTTTTAACTTATTTTGCCATATCAAACTGGATAGCAAGGATAACAGTAAATAAGTGGAGGTAAATTACGCAAGTGACTATTTTTTCCTCATCAGCTTAAAAACTCGGTGTAATGAATGAGGCGAAACTGGTCCTAGGCGCACATGATTTGTTTTTTTAATTGTCCTTAATCGGTCACATAGTCTTTTTCAACTGTCTCCATTTCTCATTAAACCCAGGTAATAATCCATTAAATTTAATTCATTACACTCCATACATTTCACCACATTATTATTACATAGTTTAATTTGTTGTTTTTCACACTTTTTAAGTTCACAAATGGAAATGTATAAAAAGTTGACTTGGTTAGCTGCAAAATGCTTTATTTCATTGCTCAAATATAATAAAGTAAGTTACATTATACAAACATACAAAGGTAGGCTAGGGATCATATCTACTAGTTAGCGACTTATAAATTAGAGTATACTAAGTGTATACATCTACTAATTAGTTAGTATTATGATTCACGTTGTGCTTGTGAGTTGTTCAGCGGCGTTAGACATCCCAACAAACCTTATGTGGAATCGAACTTGCAAAATATCACAGAACTCCATATTTCATAAGACAAATTTTTTTACGAAAACTCTGTTGCCTTGTATATTTCATTTGCATGAAATGTGGCGGCTCTCATAAGAATAACATAGTGAGCTAAACCATCGTCTTATGATAAGGGATTATTTTAAACGAATGTACTGTGGCCGTATATTTTTAAGTTTAACAGGGTCACATCAGTGAGCTCGACCAGCTTCATGAAGTGAATTGATTTTTTATTAGTTAAACCTATCAAACAATAGCTATGCTAATGAAAACATTTTAGGGTAATACACCATCTCTAGAAAATCCCTAAAATATCATGATCATCAAGTGCGATAAAAATCGACTAAAAGTTGTTTCGTGGAAAATCGCTTATCGATTTCAGTAATCAACGCCCTTCAGTTGTAGTAACCAGTGAATGTTAATTATTACAAACAATAATCTGCATCTTTAAAGTATATAATTTTGAAAAATAATCGAAATCATCATCGTAACTAAGTGTAATCCACTTCCTAATTACGATTACGTCTGGAGCAACTTATAAAATGGATTTCAAATTTAATAAATAGCTGAAAGTGTGTGGGACAAACAGGTGGATGGTTATCATTGAATAACAATGGAAAATCGACACTTAGTGAGGACACATTGTTACGCATTTTTACAATTTTAGTAAAATTTAAACAATATATTGATTATCTGCAACCAGGATTTTTAAATTGCAGTTTTATGTCAAAATAACTTAATAGATGTTCCGATTAGCTTTCCTAGTGTTTGAAACAAAGTTGGTGAGTGAGACAATAGTTGGACGCAGTGCCGCCTTTTTGTTGCACAGTATCTCACTCAAAGCACCACGTAGCACCGACGTTCATACAAACACTTTACAGGAAAGATGCACAAGCGTAGTCTTTTTCCATATTTGGCTTTATTTAGGCCCTAACCAGAAGCGTTAAACTACACTAATTTTTAAACAAATAACAACGTCGATACTCCTAATTGGTCTTGTAATACTTAGAGCAAGAACTTAGGGTCCCCAGACCCTAATATTGTTCCTTTCACAACTGGTCAAATATTATACCACCCCACTGAGAACGTCCCTAAAATACCTATGAGAAGTTTTATCATCAAACATCTTAACACTGAATATAGCACTGTTACAAACTCACCAGTAAATGACTATGACTTAATGAGAAGAGATTTACTAATCCTCAATAATTGAACATTGTATTGTAATGCCCGGGACCTCAGGATTTCGATCCCGTATAAAGTCATCACTGTGCACTTCTGATGAGTCCTGGATTTCTTCTGTTTTTTGATTTCCAACTGTTTGTCTATTGATTTTATTCTAAGATGAAAAATACTTCTAAACTGTAAAAATAAAGGAAGATTGAGTACTTAATAAAAGGATTTATATACAAATATACACACTTATCTGAATATCGATGATAATAAACTATTGGTATTTACACACAATTTTCTCTACGGAATGGATAGAAATGCTAAATAAACATTGCATACATGTTCGAAGTGTTAATGCTTGAAAAAAAAATATTTGGGACAGGCATGTCAGTATTCATAACATGAGAATCATATATTTGTGGGGAAAGTTATAAGATGTACATCACGAAGTTAGCGTATTACATTGGCTATCTGTATTTGGTCGCGATGGGATAATGACTTTGAGTTCCGAACCTCGAGTGGGAGACGAACCTTTGGTATCCGGTGAGTTTAATCTATTTGGCGGAGATAAACTGTCTAAAATCTGATGCACAGAACTAGAGTCTTCAATGCCCTCAGCTTCAATAGTATACGTGCAGTTTCCTGGTTCAGGTTTCATTCGTAACTGAAATTGGTTGAGAGAAATAGATGTGGGCAGAAGCGATGTATTAGATGAATTAGTTGTATGTTGTACCGTAAAATCAGTGCGACAGCTCGAACTGTTGAATGGTCCTGGAGACTGACCTAAACCTTCTCCAATAAAGACTCATTAAGCGCATTAGCCGACTTGAGTAAGTTCTGAGTTTGTTGGGTGACCGCAGCCTGCAATCCTGATAACGTTTGACCCCGATAATGAAATGTGTTTTTAAGTGCGATAATACATTACTCAAAACTGGATATCTGTTGCGGGCTATGGAAAAGCGTACGGCTGATGTGCGCTCACGTTTCTCTCTGCAGAGATGACAATAAAATATACCAGTAACACGTTTAAAACCCTCAGGAGTCACTGACAATTCCATTTCCATATCAAAATCTCGACCACGCATAAGGTAAGCGTTAACAAACTGTCGTGATGCTAACCTGATTGCACTAGCTGAAGAATGCTGTTTCAAGCGCTCCAAATTGACTCCTTCATTCTCAAAGAATCCATTTCCGTATCCGACTGGAGAGGAACTGATCAAAAAGTTAGAATGAGATGGTATAGCATTTGATGTGATGGTGACAGAAGGCATATTTGACACTGGAATCGTATTACGTGATGAAACAGGAGATATGCTAGTTCCTGGATGAAGCACAGGATTTGTATCACCAGAGTTACAGCTACTTAAACCAGAGAGTGTCGTTAAACTGTTTTCATCGGGTAAAGAATTAGAAAACAAAGTGATATTATTGTATCCATTTCCACTCACAGCAGCTGCGGCAGCTTGGAGAGCAGCAGCCATGATCACTGCTGGTCCGTCAGAAGGTGGTACACTTGGTTCTGACCTGCGTGAGGGATTCGGGGAATCTGAAAAGTAGGTTTTCGACGTCAAATTTACCACCGATGTTGGAGATGTTGAATCCGAATTTTCCACAAAGTTGCTTGGTAATGGGTCAGCCAAGGTAACAGGCGGTGAAGATGCTGAAGAAATTAAGTGAGACAGTGAAGAATCTGTTTGACAACCTATATCACTGAAGCTCTGATCACATGAGTCTGGGATAATTATGAAATCCTCATCAATAGGATTTTGACCCTCTATCGATAACTGAGATCGACGATACCTCCGACGAATTTCGTGTGCAGCCAAAAGAATTCCACAAGCAGCACCTGAGGGTAGTTTAAACTTTAGTGGATCATTTGCAAAAATGGGCCCTACGAAATGCTCTCGTAAGGTAATTGACTTCATAATCGAACAAGCATGTCCAACAAACGTCTCAAGCCTCTGTAACTGATGATCATCTAGTCGGGCGACAACATACGGTGTACAAAAGCCTGCCAGTTCAAGACAATGAACTACATATTCCGAGCAGACATAACGTGAGATCAAGTCACGGAATTCCGGATCGAGTTTAGCGAGCTTTAGCGAATCGACGGATTTTTCACCAAGAGTTGAATCACTACGTAGAAAATGTTCAGGACTGCAACTAAGAAGTACATTTTCCTCGTCTGCCGACTCTACAATGTCAACATGATCTTTTAACGATGGAAATTCATATTCTCCATATGTGGGTGCTTCTATATGATTAACTGCATGCACAGGCCCCGATAATGATGATATATGCGACCGCTTGCGACGATGATGTACAGATACTGAAGTACTTGATATATGAATATCCTTTGGTTGGATACTGTTATGTCCATGTTTTTGTTCGTTGTTGATCATATCAGTGTTTAAAGTTTCGTTAACGATGAGGTTCGGTGTCCCAGACGACTGTTCCATATTTGCTTGAACTTTGGAATTTATCCAACGAAAGTCTGTTACAAATATTCCATAGCAGTAGTAAGCCACGTTGCTATTTATGTAACTACAATAAAATGAAGAAAGTCATTTGTACTAAAATTATTGGAATGCTTGGTTTTACGTCTGAGTCAGTTTAATACTTTGAAATGAGAGTTGTGCGAATTTACATACAAGAATGACTTTGACGGGGAACAAACGGTGTACAAACCTATTTCAATCACCGACTACGCAATGATTGTGTCTTGGTGTTGTTCCACTGCTTTGTGCAGTAGACCTTGCAGAGAAGAGTAGAAAGTGATTCTCTGAGAAAATACCCTGCTTTGGATAGGGCCTCCAGGTGTTCGCAGTTCTCAGATAATGAGGGAAGAGCATGAATGACTAAACTACATCTTACATTAATTTCAATATTTGAACTACTAAGCAACTCCACTAAATTGAAGATTTTATTTTGTCCAAGGGGTTTTAGTTTGTTAAACAATTAATCACATGTTTTTTTGAATGAGTATCTCATAAGAATAGTTTTTTTTCATGTAAAGTCACTACCATCGATGTTTGAAACTTAATGTGGGCGGATTTATCTCCACAGAACGAGCTACTAGTAGTGCATTGTTATAGCTTAGAGACCTATCCTCAAAACTATGATGAAAAACTACAAGTTTGTTATCTACACATCGATTTAAAAAGCGTGCCCCACATATGATTATCCTGGAATCAGTGCTGAGATTGGTTAGTCACTGAGCGCCAGAGCATGAGCAGCACTTACCTATTTTGTTCTCATTACGTGGTTTATTTAGTGTGACCTTGAGAAACTTGAGGAAAACTATCCTTTGTAATCCCCACTACATTGTCAGATTAGAGTCTGAATACGGTAACTATGGGTCCTATTATGGTCGAATGATCCATTTGTATTGGTTACTTGGAGTTTCCCAATGATGCGTAGTACTGCAATTAGTCCGTTTTCTTTAGGCATATGTAGATCCTGTGAGAATCGCCTCAATATGGCTACTAAGTTACAAGCACTTGAAGCAGAGATGGACGGCAGCTAGCAGTGGGACATAGGATATGGGTTTCATTTTGTTTAGGACTCGTGAGCTGGGTGTACCCGTATCCCTGAGTCGATGTCCACTTCGGGACTCAAACCCAGTACTGTTCGCTTCGAACGCCACCGCGTTATGCACTCAGATTTATGGATAGGGTACAGATTTAACAAACTTTATCTAGCTGACAACGGTCTTGGAAAAATTAACCGTCTATTTAGGGGATATTACTGAGTTCAAGACCTCATAGGCACCAGTCAAATAGTCACAAAACAGCTTTGAGATTAATCCACAGAGAAAATACAAAACAGTACGCTGGAGGTAATATATAGGACAAATTCCGGAGACCATAATTTATAGACGAAGCAATTAATTTAAAGATTTCGGGGAGAAATATACTTATCCACATAGCTAAATAGAATTTTTACATTATATCTAATGTCAGTTGGTGATGAAAACCCCAACTCTTATTTCTAACCCCAACTTTTAGATTCCGATCCTATTACCTCAAGCCAATCCATAAAACTCTTTTTAGCCCTAGGGAGTTTCTCACTCTGGCGTCCCTTATAGTCCATCTAAACATTATAATCTCGCCCGAATCTCTCTATTCATACTAATAATAAACTAACAATTACATAAATTTAGTGATCAAAATTGCTGGAGTACTATCATTTTCAGTGACTGGAGTATAAATCACAAATCAATGTGTCAATGGTGAGTCTGAAAGCCAGTGCCATGTAGTCTAGAGAATCTTTATAGTGTCTAAAAATAAAGGACTGCTTGCCAACAAGCACTTGTCTACAATTGCTAGCGTGAATGGTCTACATACCGCATGTCAGTTATTAGTCTACTCATAAACTATGATTTTATCGTCTGCGAATGTCTTCAATCAGATATAGCTTTTCCAATCAAGTCACTTGCAGTCAACATGCCCGTGGAATTTGTGTAAATGAATGAGAAGGTTGGTAATCCTGGTAAATCTAAGTGATAAGTAAACAACTAGCTGTAAATCCAGCTAAAATTCAAACTCGGCTGAGAAAATAGGGAATGTCGCATTATCTCCTCATAGGAGGCAAAAAAGAGACTTTTTGGCGCGTTTCTTTTTTACTTTCCTGTGGGGAAGGCACTTTTGTTTGCCCTTATTTGTTTGCTTGTGAGTTTATGGAGGTGTTTTACAAATCAATTACTAGTCTTATGAAAAACGTGAAACGAACGTCATATTTAAAAGTAAGTAGTACAAATACAACATTTAAGTACTTAAAGTACAACAACTAACCACTAAGTCTCTGGTCAAATCCACAACCTCTAGGTCGACCCTTGGCGATTTCCAGTGTCCAATATCTTCGTGATGAGGTAACATACAAATATTATTTGCTCTCAAACACCGACATCCGATAATGTTAGCACACCTTAGGAAGATTGAAAATTCCAGCGATTTTGGAAAATTTGAAGCTTATTATGTGCAAATAAAGCAAGATAATAGACGAGAAGGAAATCAATGAGTGAAATAGTGTATTGTTCTGCGAAGTCAACCAGTGTTGTACCCTAGGGAATGCAGTCTATGAGTATGAAGTAATGATCTGTTTAAGACTTCCGAAACAAGAGAACTTTTTATGAATGCAGGGAACTCTAGGTAAACTGACAGTGAAATCCAAGACATCATCAACATTTGGGAGTGGAGAGATTCCTACCTGTCTTTCATTCATGGAAGACTAAATAAAAGTCATACAGGAGTGCTTAGTTATTTTAATAGATTCAAAGTTATTATGGATTCATTCAATAATGCCTTGAGGGTCTTGAACGTAGTGTACAAAGTGATTTTTCAAATTTTTTTAGGAACAATGGAAATATTTTATGCTCTACGCTCAAAGGAAATAAAAACGAAGCATTTGAATGTCTTGAGAAAGATTCTAAAGCACAGTTCATGGCTCTTAATATGAAACATCTCATGTCAAAGTGAGGTATTAGATGTCGTAGACGACAGAGTTTACTTAGTTGGTGGTTGGAGGTAGTCAACAGGAAACCCTGAACCCGGGTTTCGTGCTACCTTGCACTCGTCAGCAAGGTGTGCCTGTAATCTTGAGGGAACTGGTGCTCCCTGGAGAATTTGATCTCGTGTCACCCAGCTTCAAAGTCAGAGACGTTACCACTGAGCTATCCGAGCCGTGACTAACCTCCTGTAGGACTGAGGTGTAATCACAATTGATTGATCACTGGATGGTGATCAATGTCATGCTTGTCTAGTCCTTATTAGTGCAGATCGAATGCTATCGATCATGTTGCAATGTGGCCACCAGTCTAGGTGACTCGACACTCCGGGCACTATGTATTGAGATTTAGATGGTGGTTGGAGGTGTCGAGCCACCTAGACTGGTGGCCACATTGCAATATGATCGATAGCATTCGATCTGCACTAATAAGGACTAGACAAGCATGATATTGATCACCACCCAGTGATCAATCAATTGTGATTACAGAGTTTACTGCACTACATAAATTTTTATCCTGACTTAAGCAGCGGCAGTTATGGTGTTGAGGACGGATATTAATTTCTTTTTTCATAATTCTGTACTTGATTTCAATTACGGAAAACCATACATTCCAGCACACTCAGTGGTTTCTGGAGGGCTTAAGTACTATTTCATGAGTTACTTTAGAAGCACGGGTTTGTTATTAGAAATGCTATTGCACTAAGACATTGTTATTCCTCACTAAATTGTTGTTCAGGCTAAATGTGCTGCGGACACAACAAAAACGCAGTTTGTATCCGAATACAAGGCTTATTTATTACTTAATATATTTAAGATCTCCATTATGAGCTAGTAGCTTTAGGGAGGGCTTGCTTAATGTTAAGTTGTTGTCACGATCTTTTCATTATCGTCCACTCTTAGCTTAGCCTTACAAATACAGAAGACCAAGTTTCAAGAAGTTGGACTGCCGGATTTCATTTGGGACATATATCTTCCTGTCCCTCCATACTCTTACCTTCACTGTCTTCACATGTTTGGCACTTTGCTGGAGCTAATATTTATTCAGTGACAAAGAGGAGGTAAGGCAGGCTTGTCGATTAAGAACAGTAGAATGTTACATAGAAAGTCGGAAACATATTAGGTGATGAGATGACCTAAGTGAAAGTTAAGATAGAATATGGTTTGAAAATGACGAACAGAAGAAAGTAGTGGGAGTGGATTGGTAGCGAAACGAATTTAAAATATCCAATTTACTATGATTTTTTATTGAGAATTTCATCTTTGATACTGAATCCAAATATCTGTATATTGCTACAGTTTTAAACTTGATTTCTTTGTCATTTTAACCATGAACTACTAGTCCCTATCTTGCTTTGATTTAGTACTTGCAATTATCATCTGGTAGGCTATATATTAAAGGTTTCTCACGAAAATTGTCATTCTGTTATTGGTGCTATCTGCAGTGATAATTTTCAATTCAAGATCAAAAGTTGAATATTCGGAACTTGAGACTTTGATTATTTCATCAATTGGTTACATGTTGAGAACCTCTTCAAAAAAATACCGAAGTACAAATTTTAGATACAACAATAACGATATAAAAATCATGACAAAATCGGTTGCTGCTATTATAAAAGAAAGGTAAGGCGAGCAGTGAACTGAGAAGACTTTTGTTTTTAGTTACTAACCTATCATTAAGGCTGTCGTGTGGGAGATACTGGTTTGCTCGGTTAGATCAAAGATTTATATAATGGCCTTAACTAATCCATTCTGGTTGAATCTAATCGAATTACTTTGGTTCTCTGTCACTTTCCGTTTCACAGAAGTCTCCTAATGGTGAGAAAATTTTTGACAGGGCTAAATTACTTCCACTGTTATAATCAGTTGTAGAGCATTTCTAGAGATCCTTTACTATCGATAGTAAATTTACGCAAGTATTATGCTTTTAAATCATTACAATACGCTTCAAGTG